AGGCTTCCAACGCAGAGGATTTCTGAATATATTGCAAGTGGTTCGTGATATCTTGGTTATTTTTGGCTCTCACTGATGTGCACTGGATTGGAGCCTTCCCCCGCTCCCATCCCCCCTGTGAATATCTCTGCCTGTAAGATGATTTAGGTTCGCAACCTTGGGCATATATATTTTCTGGCATGTTAGGTGGATTAATTTGGAAGTTCTGTGGATATTTTTGCCTGTATGGTAGACCGGGTTGCAATCCTTGTAGGTATTTTTGTATGTGAGGTGGACTGGATTCCAATGCTTGTGGATCTTCCTGCATGTTAGGTGGTCTGGATTCCATTCCTTGTAAATCTTCCTCCTTATTAGGTGGTATGGGTTCCACTCCTTGTGGATCTTCCTGCATGTTAGATGGTATGGGTTCCAATCCTTGCAAATCTTCCTCCATATTAGGTGGTCTAAATTCCAATCATTGCAAATCTTCCTCCATGTTAGGTGGTCTGGGTTCCAATCCTTGTAAATCTTCTTGCATGTTAGACGGTCTGAGTTCCAATCCTTGTGAATCTTCCTGCATGTTAGTTGGTCGGGCTTTCCAATCCTTGTAAATCTTCCTCCATGTTAGGTGGTCTGGATTCCAATCCTTGTAGATCTCCCTGCATGTTAGGTGGTCTGGACTCCAATCCACGTGGGTATCCTTGCATGTAAACTACATTTGGTACAAATCCTTGCGGATCTTCCTCCTCAAATCACTAATCCGTCTGAGTACAGCTTGGTCCATTACGGAGAAGTTTTCCTGCCAATAGGAAGCCTTAACTAACAGCAAACTAATTAGGCTGGAAAATTATATTCCTACACTAATTGCATAAAAAAGAGACCTTGTCGACATGTTTCAGGGGGGTTTGTGACAGGTTATTTCTACGAGAGTCAGGTTATGTTGTTTCTGCAAACTGAGGGGAGATGGTTTGGGCCGTGTGGTGTGTGTGTACTCACCAAATGTGGTTGCAGGGGCGAGTCATAGTCCTGGCCCGGTGTGTGTGTGTGTTATGTGGTTTGCAGGGGTGGAGGTGATAATTCCTGCTCGGTGTGTGTATGTGTGTGGTGGGGAGGGAGTGTGTGTGTGTGTGCATGTGGTGGTGGTGTTGGGCTCGTGTGGTTGTGTGTGTGTGTGTTGTGTGTGTGTGTGTGTGTGTGTGTGTTTTGGGTACTCCCCTAACTGTGGTTGCAGGGGGCGAGTCATAGCTCCTGGCCCCGGTGTGTGTGTACTCACCTGTGGTTGCAGGGGGCGAGTGACAACTCCTGGCCCCTGTGTATGAGTACTCACCTAACTGTGGTTGCAGAAAGAGAGTTATAGCTCCTGGTCCCGGTGTGTGTGCACTCACCTGTGGTTGCAGAGGGCGAGTGATAACTCCTGGCCCCTGTGTGTGTGTACTCACCTGTGGTTGCAGGGGGTGAGTCATAGCTCCTGGCCCAGGTGTGTGTGTACTCACGTAACTGTGGTTCCAGGGGGCGAGTGATAGCTCCTGACCCCGGTGTGTGTGTGTGTGTTGTGTGTGTGTGTGTACTCACCTAACTGTGGTTGCAGGGGTCGATTCATAGCTCCTGGCCCCAGTGTGTGTGTGTGTGTGTGTGTGTGCATGTCCGTGTGTGTGTACTCACCTAATTGTGGTTGCAGGGGTCGAGTCATAGCTCCGGCCCCCTCCTTTTCACTTGTCACTACTAGGTCACTCTCTCCCTGCTCCATGAGCTTTATCATACCTCTTCTTAAAGTCATGCATATATCCTGCCTCCACTACTTCGCTCTCCAGACTATTCCACTTCTTGACAACTCTATGACTGAAGAAGTACTTCCTAACACCCCTGTGACTCAGCTGAATCTTTAAGTTTTAACCCTTTGTTGCTCTGTCTCGTCTCTGGAACAACCCGTCTCTGTCCACATTGTCGATTCCCCTCCATATTTTATATATCGTCCAATGTCATTAGGTCGATTTTTCTTAACCTCTTCTCGTAGGACATATCCTTTAGCTCCGGGACTAGTCTAGTTATAAACCTTTGCACGTTCTCTAATTTCCTGACGTGTTTGGTCATGTGTGGGTTCCAAACGTGTGTGTGTGCGTGTGTGTGTATATATATATATATTATATATATTTTTATATATATATATATATATTATATATATATATATATATTTATTATATATATTTATAAATATATCTTCCTTTATACACAACACACCGTCTTCTAATGTGTTCCTTATTCTTGGCATAATATTCACATAGTGTTCTTATTTGATAGTGTCTGACACTGCCGCCTCCAGCCTACTCCTCGCTGCACCAACAGTCGATGACATTAATCACAACATCACAGAAGACTCGACACCTCTGTACTCGGATATATTTTTTTTTATTCATCGTCACAATTTTTTCCACAGATATTTTTTTTTCTCTCATCTGTTCATTTCCTCATCCTTCACCGGCGCAGCTTCCGACATATTCATTCTCCTTATGTGTTTTAAACGCATTTTATTCCTCCATAGTTCTTCCTTCTAAAGTGATTAAACTCTGATTTCTTATGCATCTACGTATTAAGTAATCACAACTATAAATTTTAAAGGGGTGGACTGGTAAACCAGCTGAATGCCTCTGTCAGATGACCAAAAGCTCCAGCTACGGGTCATCATATGACTAAGACCCGCGTCCAGAAACACTTGTCATGCTTCCTGACGAGTTTTATCTAACCTAACCTAATCTACGTTCTCTCATTGTCTCGTTCTTCTCTGTATTAGCTTTTAATTTCGTCTTCTGAACTTGTCTGGATCCTCTAGTTCTGACTTCCTCAAAAACGCTGTCATCAGCAAACATCAACCGTGGCAAGTGTCGCTTTGTATTTCGTTAGTTATCTTTTATGACCACGCCAGTGAGACATTAACCTTCACTTCTTTACAACTTCTGCTATAAAAAAGCAATACAACACATTGAAATCTCACGTCTCTGTCTATGCTCTACTTTTACCACTTTCCTTCTACACCTTCGACAATTCTCTCTCTCTCTCTCTCTCTCTCTCTCTCTCTCTCTCTCTCTCTCTCTCTCTCTCTCTCCTCTCTCTCTCTCTCTCTCTCTCTCTCAACTTTCATGTGTTTCCCAAAACACTTAATCTTTATTTACAAAATTTCCTAAATATTCTCTCTCATGACTATTAAACACTGTAACCCACTACTCACATCCCGCTTTTATTCTTAACCGAATTATTATTTAATTTAAATATTTACAACAGGAAAAGTGACGCAGCAATATAGTATACTGCATTTTGTATATAATACAATGATGTATTGTTTTTCTTCGTGTTTTTTTACCATTTCTCTTCATATTTACACCTTGCTTTTTACAATAAAATATTATTTCACTATTTCTGTATGACCTTTAGCGCTTAAATTAATAATGATGATGATGACGATGATAATAATAATAATAATAATAATAATAATAATAATAATAATAATAATAATAATAATTATTATAATAATATAAATAATGACAATAATAATAATGATAATAACGAAAATAATTATAATAATGACAATAATAATAAAAATAATAATAATAATAATAAATAATAATAATAATAATAATAATAATAATAATAATAATAATAATCATATCCTTGTTTCTCCTCTTCTTTCGAAAAACTTAATTGGGCCACAATTCTGTAGTACACTGATGCACATTTAAATCTCTGACACGGAAGCCATTACAAAGTAATATCCCAGGACACGGACACGCTATCTAGCAACATGTCTGCTATCAGAGTGAAAGCTGAGGGATAATGGATCACTTACTAGTGGATATTAGGTACAAGTGAGGTAGTTAGGCCTTATATTGTGTAGTAAGTATAGCTACAGTTAGAACGGTCTTTTTTGGGTAATAATAGGAAATGGATAGTTAGGGAGTGATTTGAATTTATTGGTGTTCAGCGATGGTTTGGTATATGGTTTATTAGGGAGAGTTAAATAAGTAGATAAGAGAAGTGACTCGTGGAAACGTTAAGCCAACGTGAGGTTTCCTCAGTCCAATACAGAGTTGAATGGTGGAAGATTAGAAGGAGTTTGAGGTAATTAGTCCCTCAGCTTGGAGTCGATGTGTTGAGTCCATCAAATTGTGATCAAGATTAATGGACTGAACACATCGACTCCAGGTTGAGGGACTAATTACCTCAAACTCCTTCTCATCTGCCACCATTCATCTCTGTACCGGACTGACGAAGCCATTTGTTGGCGAAACGTTCTGGCAATAAAGACACCCAAGTGTTGCACATGTCTTAATCGTCAGAATAAATAAGGTCGTGTATCGACTGTTACTACAACTGCTACTATTTGTTGATACTAGTTTTCTTACTACTACTACAACAACTACTACTATTACTACTACTACAACAACTACTACTATTACTACTACTATTTTTCCTACGACTATTATTGTTATTACTACTACTATTATTAAAACTATCGTTCTACAGCAGTTACTACTACTATACTACTACTGCAATTACTACGACTGTGACTGCAAGATCGAGAAAGATAACTCTATAGATTCAAGGCAGTAGTCACCTTTCTCCACTTGTTGGCGAAACGTTTTCAGAATAAATACACTCAGATGTCACAAGTGTCTCATTTATCAAATTGTCTGTATTTTAAATCATTTATTTACAAAGTAGCTTACTTTCTTTACAGATCTCAGACAGTGATGAAGAAAGACAGTTCTAACTCTATCTCTCTCTCCCTTCCTACAGAGTCGTGGGACGAGGTTCAGTATAGCTCTAATTCTTTCTCTCTCTTTCTCTCTCTCTCTCCCTCCCTACAGAGTCGTGAGACGAGGTTCAATATAGCGCTATTCTCTCTCTCTCTCTCTCTCTCTCTCTCTCTCTCTCTCTCTCTCTCTCTCTCTCTCTCTCTCCTTCCCTACAGAGTCGTGGGACAAGGTTCAATATAGCTCTAATTCACTCTCTCTCTCTCACACTTTTAGAGCCACGAGCGGTGATCACGGCAGGAAGAGAGCTCTACCTGGACAGAGGCTCAACTCTCCGTCTAACCTGTCAGGTTAGAGACGCCCCAACGCCTTCAGACTTCCTTCTATGGTACCACGAGCAGAAGGTGAGAGAGGGGAGGCTGAGGGGAATGGGGAAAAGGAGGAAACGTGGCAGAGGGGAGAGGCTAGAAGGCTTTCACTGTCATTAAACCCCAGAAGCTTTAATCGGTTTAGCTTGGATGTTGTGGTTTACAGGGTAGCCAAGTTTATTTTTTTGTGTCAACAAGGTGAGATTATCTTGATAAATTACCTTGTTAAATACGATCATTATGGCCTGGTTTATGTCCTGGTTTAAAACTTGGTGTATGCCCTGTTTATGTCCTGGTTTATGCCCTAGTTTATTCACTGGTTTATTCTCTGCTTAATAAAATGAGTTACGTTCTGAAGATCTTAAACAATGTTATTTTATGCTTATTAATTTTTTTACTCGATATGTTGATTACTTTTAGAAGAAGTTATATTATTCTGATAAATTTTAGCATGGTTAAATTTTGTTAATATTTTTTTGTAGTTATACGTTGATAAATTTAAGCAGATGTATACAACGTGAGGTGTATGTCGGCGTATTCTGTATATGTATATCAGTATAGAACAAGAAGGCACAATACCGTGACTGGAACAATGATTCCAAACAGATATGTCTTGACAGGTGGTAAACAGGTGTCAAGCAACCTTACAGAGTCCTCATTAACCCCATTATACTCATCATTCGTTCTTCAGAATAATCTTCAGACACTAATTTTTGTGATTTTTAATGATTATATTTTTTCCAAGTAACTGAAATTAACTGAATATTTCAAAACGTGATTTTCTGTTCGGTTTTACGTAAGTTTCAGACAACATGGGGGAAAAATCAACAGTTATTTTAGGGTAGGTTGTATAGGTAAGACACATATTCAACATTAACAACTTATTCCGAAAACATTTCGACCTACAGTAGGCTTTTAGCGAATAAAATAATTTTATCAATGTAACTTGATCATAAACTTAAATTTCAAGTCTGCAAATCATTCATAGTGATTTTGTCACTCGGATTATACGGGAAAGTATCTGCCAGACTAAATGGGTGAGAGGAAAAATCATTGTGTTATTCCTTGATTAGGTTAGGTTAGGTTTGTCAGGAAACAGACAAGTGTTTCCTGACGCGGGTCTTAGTCAGATGATGACCCGTCTTTGGAGCTTTTGGTCATTTGACTGAGGCCTCCCGCTGGCTTACCGGTCCACCCCTTTAAAAATTAAGGTTTTAAGTGATTATTATTTCTAGACTACTGGAAACTCATTTACGCAAGCCAAATTTGTGTTCATTGAAATAGCCAATATTTGATGCCTCGATGAGTATGTTATCAGCACGGATGAGTCGGATTCATCACAAAGTAAACACACACACCGTTCACGGATCATCTAATCAGCCGGATTCACATATTTTATCGTGTGTTGTTAAATCCCGGATAATTCTCTCTGGATATGCTGGTTTGGCCCTTGTCATATCTCCCCTTAGTATGTTGTTATATCCTGGATCATTTCCCGTGCTGCATTATTTTATCAAACCATACCCCCGGCCGGGATTGAACCCGCGGTCATAGAGTCTCAAAACTCCAGCCCGTCGCGTTAGCCACTAGACCAGCTAGCCACAATAAGATTCATCCAACTAGGTATATTTCTACACATAGGAGGTAGCACTTAAATCTGTGGAAGGAAATGCAAGTTTTTATAGACGAGTCTAGTAGTGTGTGTGAGAAATGTCAACCCTTACCACTGTAAATACCAGTTTTAAATGATAGGTTCAGGCTAGGCAAGGTTTGTTGCAACAGTGTTTACGACGAGGGTCTTATGTTATCTTGAATCTCGTCTTTAGCTTTTTGGTAATTTGACTCCTATTGGTAATGACTCACACCGTTTAAAAAAGGAAGTGATTACTTCATCATCAAGACCCTAAACTCGAAACTCAATGACGTCAAACAACATTTGTTTCTTGACTAGCCACCTATTATGTGCCTCGATGTGAGTTGTTGTTTGAGGTGTAGTCGGTTCAATCACACAAGTAGCAATCCCAACCGTTACGGCTCACAAATACCATTAACATTTTCCTATCGTTCTGTCTTTAAATCCCGGTAATTCTCTACTGGATATGTTTTTGGTTTGCCCTTCTTTCACTACCTCCCCTCGTAAGAGAGAAGAAATAGCCTGGCTTTCCTCGTATGCATATATAAAACCATGGCCCCCCGGAGATGAACAGAGTGGTCATGGTTTCCTTCAAAGAAAGCCAAGAGTGCTTGCCCTCAAAAGAAAGCTAGAATAGTTCTATTCCTTCGTAAGAAGCAGCAAGAAGGTGTTTGCACGCCTTCGTGACACAAAGCAAGTTCTTTTTACAGGACGAAATGTCTTGCTACCGTTCCGTGAAGACAATAAGATCAGTCCCTTCCTGCGTAAAAAGACAGGGCCTGGCTTTTGAAGACTAGAAGAAGGGTTCTCTTCCCGGAAGAGGGGAGTATTTGTTCCTTCGTAAGAAGACGAGATTACGATTTTCTTAAAAGGATGCATTAGAGTTACCCTTGCGTATCTTCTATTAAATATCTGAGGTTATCCTGCTTCATTCTTAAAGGGTAAGGAGAGCAATCTTCCTTCCCAAAGAAGAAAGGAGAGGCCTGCTTCCTTCAAGAGAGCAAGAGACCCTTCTTCGAGAGACTCAAGAGAGCCGCTCCATCGAAGAGGGCAAAACATCCTGTTATTCTTCGTGAAGATCTCCTTGCTCCTTTAAAGTAGTGAGAGAGTGTTGTTCTTGAGGGGAGAGTAGTGCTTGTCTGTGTGAGTGGAAGAAGAGTAGTTTGCTTCCTTGTGAAGCAGAAGTATGTTCTTGTTAAGACACATAGAAATTTACTTCTCCTTGCGTAAAGAAGACAAGAAGATGTTGCATTCCTCTCGTTTCTTTAAAAAGAAGTACCGTTGCTTCCTTGTTATGAACTGGAATAATTCTTTTCCTGAAAAAAAATTCCTTCTTTTCGTATACTTGCTTCCTTCGTTAAGAAGAGGAAGAAGAGTAGGTCTTGCTTCCTTCGTAAAGAAGAGAAGAAGAGTGGGCCTTGCTTCCTTCGTAAAGAAGAGGAAGAAGAGTAGTCTTGGTTCCTTCGTAAAGAAGAGGAAGAAGAGTGGTCTTGCTTCCTTCGTAAAGAAGAGGAAGAAGAGTGTCTTGCTTCCTTCGTAAAGAAGAGAAGAAGAGTGGTCTTGCTTCCTTCGTAAAGAAGAGGAAAGAAGAGTGGTCTTGCTTCCTTCGTAAAGAAGAGCAAGAAGAGTGGTCTTGCTTCCTTCGTAAAGAAGAGGAAGAAGAGTAGTCTTGCTTCCTTCGTAAAGAAGAGGAAGAAGAGTAGTCTTGCTCCTTCGTAAAGAAGAGGAAGAAGAGTAGTCTTGCTTCCTTCGTAAAGAAGAGGAAGAAGAGTGGCCTTGCTTCCTTCGTAAAGAAGAGGAAGAAGAGTGGCTTGCTTCCTTCGTAAAGAAGAGGAAGAAGAGTAGTCTTGCTTCCTTCGTAAAGAAGAGGAAGAAGAGTGGTCTTGCTTCCTTCGTAAAGAAGAGCAAGAAGAGTAGTCTTGCTTCCTTCGTAAAGAAGAGGAAGAAGAGTAGTCTTGCTTCCTTCGTAAAGAAGAGGAAGAAGAGTGGTCTTGCTTCCTTCGTAAAGAAGAGGAAGAAGAGTGGTCTTGCTTCCTTCGTAAAGAAGAGCAAGAAGAGTGGTCTTGCTTCCTTCGTAAAGAAGAGCAAGAAGAGTAGTCTTGCTTCCTTCGTAAAGAAGAGGAAGAAGAGTAGTCTTGCTTCCTTCGTAAAGAAGAGCAAGAAGAGTAGCCTTGCTTCCTTCGTAAAGAAGAGGAAGAAGAGTAGTCTTGCTTCCTTCGTAAAGAAGAGCAAGAAGAGTGGTCTTGCTTCCTTCGTAAAGAAGAGGAAGAAGAGTAGTCTTGCTTCCTTCGTAAAGAAGAGCAAGAAGAGTGGTCTTGCTTCCTTCGTAAAGAAGAGGAAGAAGAGTAGTCTTGCTTCCTTCGTAAAGAAGAGGAAGAAGAGTAGTCTTGCTTCCTTCGTAAAGAAGAGGAAGAAGAGTGGTCTTGCTTCCTTCGTAAAGAAGAGGAAGAAGAGTAGTCTTGCTTCCTTCGTAAAGAAGAGGAAGAAGAGTAGTCTTGCTTCCTTCGTAAAGAAGAGCAAGAAGAGTGGTCTGCTTCCTTCGTAAAGAAGAGGAAGAAGAGTGGTCTTGCTTCCTTCGTAAAGAAGAGCAAGAAGAGTAGTCTTGCTTCCTTCGTAAAGAAGAGCAAGAAGAGTGGTCTTGCTTCCTTCGTAAAGAAGAGGAAGAAGAGTGGTCTTGCTTCCTTCGTAAAGAAGAGCAAGAAAAGTGGTCTTGCTTCCTTCGTAAAGAAGAGCAAGAAGAGTGGTCTTGCTTCCTTCGTAAAGAAGAGCAAGAAGAGTAGTCTTGCTTCCTTCGTAAAGAAGAGGAAGAAGAGTGGTCTTGCTTCCTTCGTAAAGAAGAGCAAGAAGAGTGGTCTTTCTTCCTTCGTAAAGAAGAGGAAGAAGAGTAGTCTTGCTTCCTTCGTAAAGAAGAGCAAGAAGAGTAGTCTTGCTTCCTTCGTAAAGAAGAGGAAGAAGAGTAGTCTTGCTTCCTTCGTAAAGAAGAGGAAGAAGAGTAGTCTTGCTTCCTTCGTAAAGAAGAGGAAGAAGAGTAGTCTTGCTTCCTTCGTAAAGAAGAGCAAGAAGAGTAGTCTTGCTTCCTTCGTAAATAAGAGCAAGAAGAGTAGTCTTGCTTCCTTCGTAAAGAAGAGCAAGAAGAGTAGTCTTGCTTCCTTCGTAAAGAAGAGAAAGAAGAGTAGTCTTGCTTCCTTCGTAAAGAAGAGCAAGAAGAGTAGTCTTGCTTCCTTCGTAAAGAAGAGGAAGAAGAGTGGTCTTGCTTCCTTCGTAAAGAAGAGAAGAAGAAGTGGTCTTGCTTCCTTCGTAAAGAAGCAAGAATTCTTGCTTTTAAAGATGCAAGAGATGTCTTCTTCCTTAAACTTAATATGATTTTAATTATCCATTCAAATACTACTTCTACCACTACTAATATATTTCTATATCCATTACTGCTACTACTACTACTGCTACTACTACTACTACTACTACTACTATTTTAATACTATTACTACAACAACTACAACTACCACTATTTTTCTACAATCATTACTACAACTACTGTTTTATGCAACTATTACTGCTACTGTTACTAATACTACTACCACTACTACTATTTATCTATGATCATTATTACTACTATTACTACTACTGCGACTACTAGCACTACTTGTACTGCTACCTACTTCTATTTTTTTAAAAATATTACCAATACAATTACTACAACTAATAATAACTTAATTTTCTACTAGCATTACAGCTACTATTACTACTAATACTATTACTATTGCTACTACTTCTACTACTACTAATACTAATACTACCACTATTTTTCTACAGCCACTACAACTAATATTTCTACTACTACTACTACTGTTCTCCCTTTCCTTAATTCGTATGACCCCTTCGGTCTTAGTGCTTACCCATGATTTTAAAAGTAATTGCCCCCTTGCATAATGCACTTTATCTCTTGTTTAACACTAGCCCACTTGTCTAACACTAGCCCACTTGTCTAACACTAGCCCACTTGTCTAACACTAGCCCACTTGTCTAACACTAGCCCACTTGTCTAACACTAGCCCACTTGTCTAACACTAGCCCATTTGTCTAACACTAGCCCACTTGTCTAACAGGTGTCCTCTCACCTCCCAGGTTGCTAACTACGAGGTAGAAAAGGTCCAGGTGACGGTGAGGCTTGAGAATGGAACCACAGTGAGCAGTCTCACCCTGGGGGACGCCCAGGTGTACAACTCAGGACAGTACACCTGCAGTCCCTCCAACGCCAAGCCTGCCTCCATCCGTGTACATGTGCTCAGTGGTAAGTACAGTGTGGGTATTTACCGTGTAGATCGTGAAAACACTTTGCCTGTGTACATTTACCGTGTAAGATCTGAATAACACGTGCCTGCTGTACATTACCGTTAAATTCTTGTTTGAATAGCACGTTGCCTGCTGTACATACCCTCTTTCCTCACCCACTCTCTGATATGGTTGTTTTTTGTGTGTGATGTGGTGTTGTGTGTGTGTGTGTGTGTTGGGGTTGTGTTTGTGTGGTGGGGTTACTCACCTAGTTTTGGTTACAGGGGCCGAGTCATAGCTCCTGTTCCTGCCTCTTCACTGGCAGCTACTAGGTCACTCTTACTGCTCCATGAGCTGTATCATGCCTCTTCTTAAACCTATGTATGGATCCTGCCTCCACTACATCACTTCCCAGACTATTCCACTTCCTGACAACTCTGTGACTGAAGAAATACTGTGTATGTGTGTTGTGTGTGTGTGTGTGTGTGTGTGTGTGTGTGTGTCACAGCTATTTATAAAACACCGAAGAAAACAGAGAGAGAGACAGCTCCTTAAAGCACCTTTGCAAATCATTTACACATCCACACGAAAATTTAGCGAAGAACTGCAGGAGAAAAACACATCTAGCAGAGCGAAACGAATATTTCCATAAATCATCGTTCACATGTATATGAAGACCCACACGAAAGAATTAGATCTTCAAGGTATTACTTGGCTGGAATATCAGATTTCTGTAAGAAAAGTGTCTATAACAGGTTAAGAGAACCACCAAGTTGATAAATTAGACACATGTGCAATACGTGGGTATCTTTACTGAGGGAACGTTTCGCCCCTCAGTGCCTTCATCAGTCCTAATTACATCGACTCCAAGATAAGGGACTGATTACCTCAATATCCTTCTGATCTTCACCATTCTTCGTATTGGACTGATGAAGCCACTGTGTGGGCGAAACGTTTCCACAGTAAAGACACCCAAGTGTTACTGTCGATAAGATAGCGTGATGTTTCGAGTGGCCGATGAAGTTCAGGGGGAAAGCGATAAATCCGTAGGGCTCACATAGCGCCTGAGGAATGGAAGGTCAATTAGGTTCGATCGAAGGAAACTGAGTGTATACCTGGAGATACCCGGAGGGGGTTTCGGGGGGTCAGCGCCCCCGTGGCTCGGTCTGTGACCAAGAGTTCTTCACCGGCATCAAGACCTGTCTTTGAAAGAAAATGGTCCAGTGGTCCAGTGATTTATGGTTCAGTGATCCAGTGGTACTGGGGTAATGCGCACCCGAGGGATAATGCGCACTGCGCGCCCGGGTGACATTCGTACTGCGCACCCGGGGGTAATGCGCATGCGCACCTGGGTGTCATACGCACTGCGCACCCGAGGGTAATGCGCACTGCGCACCCGGGGGTAATGCGCACTGCGCACCTGGGTTCGGTTCACACGCAATACCCGTTTTAAAAACCTCTGCCCTTCATTTTCGTGCGCCACGAAAGAACGGAGACGAGAGAAATGTATATATAAACACTGAAAACAAAAGAAGAGACGGAAAGAGTTCCGTACAAAAATATTCCAGAGAGAGAGAGAGAGAGAGAGAGAGAGAGAGAGAGAGAGAGAGAGAGAGAACAGTCGTCAGCGAAAATATTTCCGGAATTCGTCAAAACATATAATGGAAAATTCGCCAGGATCGGAACCTGGTGAGAATAATAGGAAATCGGCAGCGAGACGACACAACCTCAGGGATTTACTAATGAGAACACTGAGATGACCGTCATGGTAATGAGAGAGAGTGAGAGAGAGAGAGAGAGAGAGACAGGTCTCCAAAGAGAGAGAGAGAGAGAGAGAGTGAGTGAGTGAGAGAGCGGGGGATAACGCGCGCAATTTTTACCGAGTGAAATAAAATTCTATTTAGACGTTTTGGTGAAGGAATTCACTAAAATATGGAGGGATGCCGGAGAATACCGGCCTAAAACTTTTGTGTGCCTGTGCGGGCTTAGTTGTGTCTGTGGGGGTTAAACTCTACTTCTTGGGCTTCGGTTATGCTCCTGTTTTTATTCCGACCTAAAGTGGCTTTTATTTCCTTGCCGTTTTGTGCTATATCATGTAAATTTTCGAAAATTCTTCTGAAGTTAGCCTGCAGCACTCCATCCCTCCCTAGTGTATTTCATTTGTTCGCTGCCCGAGCGCTGAAGGAATTCTGTCTTATGCTCTTCACTTGAATTTTGGTTCCCCTCTCTTGCGTCCCCTCGTTTGTTTCTTCCCATTTAAAAGAGTCTGTCCCTGGCTTTTTTATTTATACCCAATACAATAGCCAGGGTCACGACACTCCATACCCCCGTCTGGAGGGTCCGGAGGATTGAATATTTTCTTCTTTCTCCTCTACTTTGTATGTATCTCCAAACATGTGAAGTGTTATCATGTTCTCTCTGATTTTTATTAAGAAGTGATGTAAAGTATAAATCTCATGGTCCATAGATGAATAAGACACATGTGAAACATCTGAGAATCTTTACTGCAGACGTTTCGCCATCCACTGGCTTTATCAATACAGATTCTAGGACATAACATTCTTTTGTCTTCAAGTTATGTCTTAGAATCTGTAATGATAAAGCCACTGGATGGCGAAACGTCGTCAGTAAAGATACCCAGATCAGATATTGTCAGTAAAGATACCCAGATTAGATATCAGATTTTCAAGATTTCCATGGTATGCTAAGTAAAACAAATGTGCAATAGTTAGGTAACTTTATTTTGAAACGTTTCGCCTACACAATAGGCTTCTTCAGTCGAGTATAGAGGAAGCAGCAGAACTAAAGACGTAAAGACGATGTAATCAGTCCATTACCCTTGATGACTTAGTTTTGAGGTGGTCAGTCCCTCACCTGCCTCCTCTGTACTCGACTGAAGGAGCCTACTGTGTAGGCGAAACGTTTCGGAATAACTTTTATTGTATGCTATGTTCGGTGTACTCCAAACACAAGGCTGATCTTTGTCTCATTTGACCTGCAGGATATAGCTATGGCTGGTCTCAGTCGAGGGCGAAACATCTAAAATCAAGACTTGCGCTGTCTTACACGTCTTTGCACACACCTAACTTACTTTGACCGTCGTTTACTATTCTTTTACCCATTAGAGGACTCGCTTAAGTCGTTCAATCCAGATTTCAGATTTTTGCCATTTTTGGATTAGTCGTCTGCAAAGCACCATTTCAAAGGCATTTTTTTACCTTTAATATTTCATGTAAGCCTTGCCATTTCTGCCGCATTATTTGTATTAGGTAGGACATTTTTTCCCTTCCTAGAATTAATAATCGACTTCTACACCACACGCTGCATCGACTAAGTTATCGCTGTATATCCCCGTAATTATCTTACCGGGAATACGTGTTAGTGATAGCGGTCTGTAATTTAATATCTCTCTGTCAGCTGTTATGGAGTTGGATGAAACATTATCAGTCTACTAGCAGTGTGCTAGCCTGCTATCTGCTGATAGTCCTCGTTAGTGGCTATCCTAGAACTCGTGCAGTATTCATGGAGTAAGAAATCTTACCTGGACTCAGTGTCATCGATGTCTCCACCTCCTTCATCACGTCCCTCTTATCACATCAACTTTGTTTAGTGTGATATATCCAGTTCCTCTCAACTGTTCCGTTTCACTCGTGAGTACTGTACGGCCATGTTGTGCTGTGGACAATAATGAAGAAGAGAGACGTAGGAGAAGACTCGATCTTTTAGAGATCAAATTCAACCCTCCACTCCACAGAGTTCACCGTGTTTACTGATACATAATCAAGTCACTTAAGTATCACTTTTACAACGCTTTTAGAGGGTTGAACACCCTTACTAGACTCGATTCGTACCCAGCGCACAGAATCAACGCACCGTATCGGCAAGACCAATCGATGATCAAATCTGTGAGCAAATTGTTCTTATTGAAAGGGCATTGACCGGCCCCTCGCACCGAGGATGCTGGAGCCGTCACAGCTCCTCATGACCTCAGCAGCATTACTCCTGCCATCAGTAATGCCACCTGGGGGTGAACGTCTTTCAAGTATTTTCAGGAAATTTCAATTTAGGCACTAAAAATTGAAAGTCCTCAATCGTTTCATTTTTAATTAAACAAAGAGTTAGTGATAATTACGTAACAATACCTTTGACAACATACAAACAATAATAATAAACATGATAATATTGATCATAATTACAATATTAATAATAAAAATAAAACAACAATAATATTATATATTAATAATAATAATAATAATAATAATAATAATAATATAAATAATAATAATAATAATAATAATAATAATAATAATAATAATAATAATAATTAAATAATAATAAACAACAACAATAATAATAATAATAATAATAAATAATAATAATAATAATAATAATAATAATAATAATAATAATAATAATAATAATAATAAAACAACAACAATAATAATAATATAATAATAATAATAATAATAATAATAATAATAATAATAATTAATAATAATAATAATAATAATAACTGCATCTTGAAGGTGTTAGCATTTCCATTATTTTTTTATCAAATATTTTAGTCCTAGGGTTAATTAATTAACTTCTTGGTCAACATAATTTCGACTGCTGTTCCCTTGTTTGTTTGTTTCCTTGTTTACCTGTTTCATTGTTTGTTTGACTCTTTTCTCTTTTCCCAGTTGTCCAGTTTTTTCTAGGATTTTAAATGTTGTGAGTGGTATGACTTGTGGGGGTTTTGTGTTTTGGTGTGGTGTGTTGTGTGTGTGTGTGTGTGTGGTGTGTGTGTGGTGGGTGTGTGTGTGTTTTTGGTTGTGTGCGTTTGTAATTTTTAATACAGAAAATTTTTTACAGGCTAAACTATTATCCTACCCTTTTTATTTTAAAGACCAGCTCTTTTTATGGTTCTAAACCCCCCCCCCCTTCCAGTGCCACCCACAACAGTAGACTAACACCCATACCTATTTCGCTAGGGAGAAGGGGCAGCGGGTAAGTTAACAGGGCCCCATTGTTTCCCCT